ATATCTTTATATATTGCATACCCATTGATGTAGATTTGTAATTATATCTATACATTTGTCTTTTTAATCCTACGGAAAATAAAAAGTGGAGTTACAACTCAAAATTTCAAAAGTATTTTTTATATTTGTTCATAATTTGCCTTTACCAGAAAATTTTACATTTTAGATGATTTCAAGTTATTATATAACACTTTCATTTCAATTTGAAGGGCTCCCATTCGCACTTCATGTAGAGCAGTTATAGTGTCAGTGAATTCCCTCAGCTCTTGCTTGTCTCATTCACACAAAAACTGTGTCAGTCGCTCAGTCGTGTCTGACTCTGTGCAACCCCATGGGAGGTAGCCCACCAGGCTCCTCTGTCCATGGAATTCTCCAAGCAAAAATATTGGAGTGGTAGCCACTGCCTTCTCCAGGGGATCTTCCCAACCCAGGGGTCAAACCCCCGGGTCTTCTGCATTGCCGGCAGATGCTTTAACATCTGAGCCACCAGGGACGTGAGTCTGAGGATGTCTTAATTTCTCTCTCATTTTTGAAAGAACAGTTTTGCATGATATAGAATTCTAAGTTGAAAGTTTTCCTCTTTAACCACTCTACATATATTATCTTACTGCCTTCTGGTTTGCAAAGTTTCTGCTGAGAAATCCACTGATAATTTTATTGAGAATCCTTATAAGTATTACTTTACCGACAAAGGTCTGTCTAGTCAAAGCTGTGGTTTTTCCAGTAGTCGTGTATGGATGTGAGAGTTGTACCATAAAGAATCGAATACAACTGAGCAACTGAACTGAACTGTTAAGTATTTGATTTCTAGAACTTTATTTTTTTTTCTTTTCCTATAATCTGGTTACCAGAGTTGAGTCAGTTTGATATTCTTTAAGAGATTTACAGTACACTAGTTTGACTTTTTTGTGTCGTTTGAAAAGTTTTGTTTTTCTTTATCTGGTATTAATATTATTAATGAAATTGACTATGTGTGTGTACATGCTGAGTTACTTCAGTTGTGTCTGGCTCTTTACAACCTTACAGACGGTAGCCCGATAGGTTCCTCTGTTCCTGGGATTCTCCAGGCAAGAATACTGGAGTGGGTTGCCATGCCCTCCTCCCTGGGATCTTACCAACCCAGGGATCGAACCAGCCTGTCTTATGTCTCCTGCATTGGCAAGCAGGTTCTTTACCACTAGCGCCACCTGGGAAGCCCAAAATTGACTATACAATGTCACAAAAAAAAGCTAAACAAAACAAAACAAACACAGACACTCTGGGGTGTTTAATGTAACGTAGCTGCTACATGTATGGATTCAGGTGGGAATTGTATAGGCCCTGCTCTTCTTTGTTGGGTTTGCTGTTATGTTTGACTTTTAATTGGGTGTCAATCAACTAGGGAGACTAACACAACTTAGCTCTTTTACACCTGTCTCTCCTTTTCTAGCAGGCCAGACCTGGGGTATTCTCACTGTGATGGCAGACGTGTGGGATGCCCAGCTCTAACGTGCAAGTCCAGTTCAGCATCTGTTTCCATTACATCACCAAGGTCGTATTTTCCAGTATTACAAGGTGTAATACTTGTACCCATGTCAAAAATTGGGGCAAGTCATCCCGCTTATGATGGGAGAATACCTCAGAGTTACAAGCCAAATGACATAGATTCAGGAAACAGTAATGTATTGGAGCCATGATTGCATCTAGTATATCAACCTAGTTTGTCTTTATTTTATTTGTGTAGAATATACCTACCTATCCATTTATTTAAAATTTCCTGTGCACTTCTTTATTTTATAGCTAAATTTCTTTTTTATGAAGCTGATTTTTTTTAATAGGAAGACTTTATTACAGTTATGCAACTTTATCTTTTGTGTAAGTTTATCATTTTGTTTTGTGCTTTCTACTTTTTATATTTTTCACTTCTTTGTATCTTTTGTATATATACATGTTTGCTATGCTTTCATATATTTTAGTGTATAGAAAGTCATGTCTATTGTTTTACATAGTATAATGGTTAATTGTTAAGGTTATTGATATTTTTTAAAACCCATACGTATCTATTTATTAACATTTTTTAAACTGAAATATTCTGAATCCCCCAGTTCAGGAATTTTCGTATCACTTTATCTATACTCCTTTTAACCTAAATTCCCATCTTACATTAGTATACGTTGAGGCTTCCCTTGGGCTCACACAGTAAAGAATTTTCCTGCATTGCAGGAGACCCACATTCAATCCCTGGGTCAAGAGGATCCCTTGAAGAGAAGGCTTCCTACTCCAGTTTTCTTGCCCTACAGAATTCCATGGAGAGAGGAACCATCTTATTAGTATATATTGACTTATACTAAACATTCTTATTAAACATTTGAATAAGAATAATTTCTGATATTGCATTTATGTTTTACTCAGTTTTATCCTGTTTACACTTACATTGGTATCTAGCTTGTTTTTATGCTCACTTTCTTTTTTACTCTGAGTTTCTATGGATTTTGTCTTCGATAAATCTCTCATTTATTTAATGGTGATGATGTCAGGAACCTTACTTACTCAACTTTGGGTGGTGTACTTTAGGAAGAATAGAAAATTATTGGGCCACAAACTTTTGCACTTATAGTCTTCATTTATTACACTTTTATATGTCTGATGTATTATTTTGGAAGACAAATCTGAAGTCATCATAAATTCATTCTTCTATCTGCAACCTGGATTTTCTGCTTTAATATGTTTAGGATATTTTTCCTTTTCATTGAAACCAAAACTGTTCTAGGAGGTCTCTTAGTAAGTCTGATGAACTGAATTTCTCCAGATACTGGTGAACCTTTTTCAGGTTGCATACCCTGGTATGCAGTTATTTCCTTAATTGTTTTAACTGCTACCCTCTCTGTCCCCATTTCCTGTCTACCTGCCAAGGGAATGATGATTTTAATTTGATCTTTATTTTCTATCCCATGTCTATGTTTACCTTCATAATTTAAATATCTTTTCTCCTTCATTTCTTACTATATATAAGGTGAGATTTTCATGTTTTAGCATCTGTGAAATGAATTTTTATTCTGCAATTGCACTTTTCCATTTTGTGAATTGGAATATATTTTTATTCCATTTTAAACTTAACCTATTGTTTTTGCCTCAATACATTTTCTGTTAATACCCTCCTGTTTTTGAGATGTGTTTTTGCCTTGCATTCTAATGAGAGTTTTAAAGAGTTTCCTGCAATTACTTCTGCATCTGGTAATAGGCGGTAGACTTTTCTGTTGCTTGTTTTAGGTGATTTCTTTCCCTTATTTCATCACAGGGATTTTGTTTATTCATTACTCATTCCAAGGCCAGGTAAAATCTACCTTGGCTTTTAGTGGACCAGCAGTTTGGATGTATCAGTTGCATTTGGACTTCTCAGAATTCCAGCTGGTGGGAAGGTGGATAAGCACAATTGTCTACCCTATTTGTACTCTGTTAAGCATTGATATTGCCTTGAGGTTAATTTATTCCTCCTCTCCACTTCCTCATTCCTTTGTACTTAGAACAAATGAAGTATCAAAGTTTTTCACTTGTCCAAGTGTCTCTCAGCTGTTAATCTGGGAATTCAATTTCACTTCCTTCCTTCTTTGTCTTCTTCTGAATAATTATGATAATATCACATATATAATTTCCCAACTAGAATGATTGCAACTAGTGCATATTATTCTGTATTTTCCAAATATATTTGTGTATAAATAGATGTATAGTTTTAAATGTGTATTTATATATATTAAAATACTTAAATTTATCAAATACATGTAAATATATGTAGTGACTTGACCACATTTATTTCTGTGCATTTAAATCACCTCTATTTCTCCAATATTCAAATAATGTATATTCATTTTTTATGTGTTTTCAGACTATTTTCTTGGCGTAAATTCTTAGAAGTGTAATTACTGGCATAAAGTTTACCAACACTTTTGTGAATTTTTTCTATGTATTGACAAATTTTTTCCCAACTCTTCTTACCAAGTTAAATTTCCAGAAGTAGTACAAGCATATGCTCTCATTAAAAAATATTTTGAGATTGTATCCTCACTTTAAAAAAGTTACAATTCTTAAAAATTATGAAAAGACAAAACAGACATGTTTCACTGCCTAGTAATAACGATTACTTTGGTTTGGCTTAGATATTTCATTTTCTGCTCTGCATTCATCTAGGATGGATGGCTACATAGATAGATATGTAGGTATATAGATGATAGATAGATAGGATGCACACATTGATGAAATTACATATGATGATAACTAAGGTGTTTTAAATTTTTGTGTGATTATGCATAAACCTATAATTAATATCTTTATATTTAACACAGTGCTCATTTCATTAGTGTGACTCTAGAAAGAAAATCAGGAAGAGTAAATATTTTAATATTTTGTATGTGTGGTATACACATATGCACATATACAATTTCAAAATGATGTATCAGCTTTTGCTCTCAGCATCCATATATATGAATCTTTGTTACATTTACCCTTATAAGTATTACATATTGAAAGGATTTTTTTTTCATTGTGTTTAATTTGATAGGAAAAAGTTGATATATTTTTGTTTTTATTTGATCACTAGTCAGGTAAAATATATTTTTCCTAATGCTTATTATCTATATCTTGATATTCTTCTGCAAAACTGTTAAAATTCATAATCAACTTGTGGACTTTGTATAACACTGTGCTTATTAACAATATTAATTATTTCAATCACATCATTGCTATTTTGTACTGATAAAACTAATTCTTAATTTTTAGCCAGCCACATTCATTTCTATATTTCATTGTAAATTTTGAATACATCTAGTTCAAAATTCTACTTAAGTAATCAATGAATTACTTTCAACATTGCACTTGCTCAGTATATTATGTTAAACTGCTAATAAAATGAAATCCTCCACACTCTCCAAGTTCAATTATTTTCTTTGCAGCAGTGACAAGAATAGAATCAAATAAATACTACCCCAATACTCAGCTTAACTGACTTTTTTTTTTTTTTATTTCAGAGAATAAGGCACCATGCCTTGAATTTTCTCAGCTAAGTTTAAAGGATTCCTTCAGAGATCTGTTTAATCCCAAAATGGGGATATCTTTGATGTTATATACAAGGAACAACCCGACTTGTGCTGAATCACTGTTTGAGAAGAATGACTCACTTAATGTTAATTTCAACACAAGCAAGAAAGCAGTCTGGCTGATTCATGGATACAGACCACTGGGCTCCACTCCTTCATGGCTTCAGAACTTTGTGAGGATTTTGTTGAACCAAGATGATGTGAATATAATTGTAGTAGACTGGAACCGAGGAGCTACAACTTTTCTTTACATTAGGGCAGTTAAAAACACCAGGAAAGTTGCTGTGAGTTTGAGTAGGTACATTCAGAATCTTTTGGTAAGTCTGGAATTTTATGGATTATATATGTTATACAATAAATGGTGGTTTTATAATACTACAAAATGGTGATCAAGAAAATACTATTTATTAATAATTTGTTAATCAAGAATTACTGTACAAGTGTGAAGAATTACTGTGTTGATGTGATTCACATATGCAGCCACTTTTCTTTTGTGTTAATGGATAATTCTGTACCTAGACATGACCTATCTTATTTCTTAAAGTTATCTTAAAGATTCAATTATTATATTTTATCTTAAAATATTTTAAGATTTTTATTTTTTAACTCTGCCTATGCTGACTTCAGGATTAGTTAGTGATTTTATGTGGACAGAGGAAATAAACTATTTGATCATTAGACTTTTTAGATATATTTTCTAAGATATGTCTAAAATGACAAAGTGTTCATTGATCAAAGTGAAAAACAACTTGAAAAGTAGCATACTTTTGCCACCTTGGAGGCAGGTCTCAGTTCCTTTTAGGCTTATCCAGTTTAAATGAAGTCCATTTAAATAAATTCAGGCCATTTCTAGGTTCATCTGTGTTTCAAATGATCTTTAAGTCAATGCGTATGGAGATACAGAGATCTATGTCTGTTCTAGAGAGAGGTTGTATTAATGGCTCGAGAGAAAGAAAGGTGTTATATGACTTGGGGTCATTCTTGAGCTTGAAATCCACCTTCAAGTTGTGTTATGCTGAACTTCCAAGCCTCTCCTGAAATTCAGCAAGCATCATAGATCCAAGAAGCAGTTGTATGCAGTTGTTAGAAGTCAGATTAGAGGGATTCAAAGACTACCAAATCCACACCATCAGTGTGAGTCTGAGCAATGGCTCAAACCATTCTGCCTCATTTCCTTGTCTATTCATTTGGGATAACAAAACTTTATAACAATATTTTATTTGAGTGTTATGGGAAATTAATTCTTAACCAGTGCTTGTTATGTAATAACCATTGAATGAAATCAGCTATCATTATTATTTTTGCATCCACAAATTTGGACAAAACTAAACCATCCCTCTGGAGACACAGAAGGCTATTGATTCACTTGTTCTTACTGGTAGCCTAAAAATTCCATAATTAATTTTTCCTTTTTGTAGTGGTCTTTTCTATAGTTAATACATATGTACGTCAAAGTGTGGAACTTGTGAATATTAAATACAGAAGTTTAGGAAAAGTCTAATGTTAGATAAATTTCTAACAGTGCTTTTGCTTGCAATGGCTCCATATTAATAAGGAAGGATGAAAAATTCAGTAGCACTAAAGTTGAGAGGGATACTCCCTGGAGGTTGCAGGTACTAGTCTGAGAAATTTTGAACAAAATTATCACCCTGTGCCTGGGAAACCAGAATCTAGCTTCTCATTAGAATAAATGTTCCACATCTCTCTATCAGCCATCAGGTGTGTGACTGTGTAGACTGGACCATGACCTGCCTCCTGAGAGTGTAAGAGAATGTAACAAGAGAAATTCCCCCTTGTTTAAGCTCCCAGTGTCTCCGTACCCTTCTCCTGGGCTGAGGGTCTAGGAGGTGATCAAAACTTGGGCTTGAAAAATCAGACTCCATTGTTCTCCAGCTTGCAATCAGGGGAGGTCACTTAGAATCCCTGCGTCTCATTTTATCATCTCTAAAGGGTGGATATTCACATTGCTCAGTCTTCCTCAAGTTTTTGATACAATTTACAGATAAAACAAGGAGGCAGGCTAGTTTATATTTTGAAGTTAAACAGACCTGGACTTGAAGTCTATCTTTTTCCCTTATAGTAATAAGTATATATGACTTTGGGCAACTCACTATAAAACCATATTTATTAAGCATTTAATAGGTACCAGGGAAAGTTGTAGCCAATGGATAAAAATAAATAGCTCATAGGACTTTGTGAATATTAAATATGAGGTTTATAAAGCACTTACCAAGGTCACTAGCACAAAGTATCCAAATATGTTTTATTTTTATTACTACAAAATACTTAATTAAATATATTATTTTACATATGCTTTTCTAATAAAAATTTAATGGTGTTAATATGTAAATAAAAATCAGATATTTTATTAAAAAAGTTGAACAAAAATATAGTTGTTTGAAATTATAAAATTGCATTCCCTGTCTCCCAGAAGTGGACTAAATCAGAAAAAATAATGATTTTTAGAACACTGATGCAACGAGGCATAGTTTGTTACTTCTGAAATGAAAATTGTAACACTGCATTTTGAATTGCAGAAGCATGGAGCATCTCTTGATAATTTTCATTTCATAGGTGTGAGCTTAGGGGCTCATATTAGTGGATTTGTTGGAAAGATATTTCATGGTCGAGTTGGAAGAATAACAGGTAAAATATTTTTAAAATTATATTTGTTTATTTTAAATATGTTTGATAAAATTAATGTTTTATTACACTTTTTAAGTTTCAGAAATTGTTACTTTATTTAATAGGGCAATATTTAAGCAATGGAAATGATGCACAAATGTTCATCATTTTTCTATATTATATTCAAAGGCTGGTCTTTGTTTTAGTTAGACTCTTAAGTCTTACTTATTTCTTAACCAAACTTAAGTTACCCATATAGAAATGGAAGGAAAATGATTTATTTTTGCATGTGAATTAATTGTGATGTGAATTTTAAGGAGACCTTCTTGTAACAATCCTGAGGAAAGTTTTACCCATTAAAACTTTTACACATGCAAAACTTTTTTCATGTATTAACCAATAATATAACCTGTTATCATATATTTAATTTTTAGAAATTTTGATATAATTTAATTCTTTTGAAATTTTAAATTGAACACCTGAAGAGAGAATCAGGAGTTGGTATTTATACCTGGGAGATTCTCGACCTCAGTTCTCATTGTATTTCCTTAACAAAGTTACTGCATTCACAAAGCTTAGTAACTAAATAATACTGACATGGATTTTCAGGCCTCCCTTTAGGAATGGCAGTGATTTTAAAACTAGAAGGATCGTATCCTTCCCCAGTTAATTTAGCTTTCTAGAATTATTGAGATCTATTCCATAGAATTATAATAATTTCAAATGTTAATACTAGAGTCTTAAGCAAAGGGGGAGGGGAGAAGTGAATAAATTGTTTATAGATATTTAGAGTCTTTAAAGACTTTAAGTATACCTTACTTGCTTTGATTAGTCTTAATTTTATCTTCCTTATAAAGGATGTGAAAATTGATGTTAACTGAATAAATTCAGGAGGGTCAAGAATTTAGTAACATCTAAGCCAGGATTTATACAAAGATCTCTGGCATCCAAAGCCTATTCTCTTTCAACCAACATACTAGGTCAGTTTGAACTGTTGCTCAGCCTACTTTACTTTAAGTTGTGTTTATTCACATATTAAACTAGTTAGAATGACTCTACATGCCAAGCACTCATCAGGGTTTAAAAGCCAGCAAATGTGTTGGATCTACATCAGGGCAATTTACAGGAAAAGAGAAATTTCTGCTTCATTCAGTCATGTTGGATCTAACAACCATTGGGTCATAGAAAAAGCAAGAGAATTCCAGAAAAACATCTACTTCTGCTTCCCTGAATATGCAAAAGCCTTTGTCTGGGTGAATCACAACAAACTGGAAAATTCTTAAAGAGATGGGAAAACTAGACCACCTTACCTGCCTCTTGTGAAACCTGTATGCAAGTCAAGAAACAGCAGTTAGAACCAGACATGGAATAACAGACTGATTCAAAATTGGGAAAGGAGTATGTCAAGGCTGTATATGGTCACCCTGCTTATTTAATTTATATGTAGAGTATATCATATGAAATGCCGGGCTGGATGAATCACAATCTGGAATCAAGATTTCCATGAGAAATATGAACAACCTCAGATATGTAGATGACACCACCCTTATGACAGAGAGCAAAGAGGAACTAAAGAGCTACTTGATAAAGGTGAAAGAGGAGAGTGAAAAAGTTGGCTTAAAACTCAACATTCAAAAAACTAAGATTATGGCATCAGTCCCATCAGTTGAGTTCAGTTCAGTCGCTCAGTTGTGTCTGACTCTTTGCGACCCCATGGACTGTAACACGCCAGGCCTCCATGTTCATCACCAACTTCTGGAGTTTGCTCAAACTCATGCCCATCAAGTCGGTGATGCCATCCAACCATCTCATCCTCTGTCATCCCCTTCTCCTCCTGCCTTCAGTCTTTCCCAGCATCAGGTGTTTTTTCCAGTCAGTCAGTTCTTCACATCAGGTGGCCAAAGTACTGGAGTTTCAGCTTCAGCATTAGTCCTTCCAATGAATATTGAGGGTTGATGTCCTTTAGGATTGACTGCTTGGATCTCCTTGCAGTCCAAGGGACTCTCAAGAGTCTTCTCCAACATTACATTTCAAAAGCATCAATTCTTCTACGGTCAGCTTTCTTTATAGTCCAACTCTCACATGAATGCTGAAGAATTGATGCTTTTGAACTGTGGTGTTGGAGAAGATTCTTGAGAATCCCTTGGACTGCAAGGAGATCCAACCAGTCAATCCTAAAGGAAATCAACCCTCAATATTCATTGAAAGGACTGATGCTGAAGCTGAAGCTCCAATACTTTGGCCACATGATTTGAAGAGCTTACTCATTAGAAAAGACCCTGATGCTGGGAAAGACTGAAGGCAGGAGGAAAGGGGGATGACAGAGGACCATATGGTTGGATTGCAGCACCTACTTAAAGAACATGAGTTTGAGCAAACTCCCAGAGATGGTGAAGGACAGGGATGCCTACTGTTCTGCAATCCATTTTGTCGCATAGAGTTGGACATGACTGAGTGACTGAGCAACAACCACTACTCAATCATGTGAGCCAAATAAACTAAGGTTAATAAAAGATTGAGATAAGCAACATTATATTTTATTTTTAAAATATCTTTTAAGATAATTATTGCCCTATTGAATAGATGTTCTCAAGGCATTTCATTTCATCTCTTCCTCAGCATTTTTTGATACTCTGCAGTAGATCATGAGCTTAGAAGTTTGTAGAATTCTGAATACACTAGAACTATTACTATCTTTTATAACACTTTTAATATATTCTTTCTTTTTTGTGTGCACTAACTTTTGTGAGAAATGAATGATAAGCTAATAATAAATATGTTTTATCCCACAGCTCAAATTGCACTTAAGATCATTTTAGCCCTTTCAATAGACCCAGGATGAGCTGGTATGGAATGAGATTGAAGATAAGACCAGGATAATATTTATTATTTTTCCCCCCTCAGGAGGAGTAGTGGTTACTTTCTATTAGATAGAATTTTACTACCAGCATATTCTTAATTACTTGTTAAATGAAAGTCCTAAAGAAAGCCACAATGTTTTGTCAAGGTATGTGTAGTATGGCTTGACACTGCATCATTGATAAATTCAAGATTGGGAATAATGTTATTCAAATAAAACAGATACTTGCTATTCATCTAATTTCATTTATCTTTAGATTTGTTTTTGGACAGATTTAAACTTGTTATGTTTATAATTAATAATAATGCAAGCATGTGATATAAACTCTGTAATATAACTTGATTAATATATTAATAATTTCCTTCCTGAATTTCAGGTCTTGATCCTGCTGGGCCACAATTCTCTGGAAAACCAGCAAATGGCAGATTAGATTACACTGATGCAAATTTTGTGGATGTCATTCATACTGATACCAATGGTAACAATGCAGGATTTATTGCTTATTTGAAAATGCAAAAAGTGATGTGGACATTGGGGAAGAGGGAAAAGGAAACAGTAGTGGATGAAGTGTTAAGTCTGAAATTATATGATTATCATATTTCCCACAAGCAACATTTCTTAGAGTTCGTTTATTCTGTGGTGTAAAATGACACTTTGCCCTTAGTTTTCAGGAACTGTCAGGTCATCCTAAAAAACTGAAATTTGATAAAAATTATACTTCATCCTTTCATTCTATTAACAATTTTATTGATTTGATCACAATTTCCCCCATGCTCAATATTCCTGATATATTTAGGTTACTCTTCTCTCTTCTCATTTTATTACTTTGTTGTGTATCAACTCAAACTAAGCACATATATTGAAGCACAGAGAAAGAATACTTTTCCCTAAAGATTTTAAATTATTTTCCTCTAAATGTCTAACTGGCTATTGACAGTTTTGGCCTGAGTACCTTGGACAAACTCCAGAAATATTTTAGATGGCCTTGATCTCCTTCCTGTATTGAAACTGATATTGAGTACTTCCTATACATTAATCACTTTAAATTATTTATGTGGATTAATTGTGGAATGCTCCTAAGTCCCCATGAAATAAATAAACATTTTCATCCCCTTTTTTGCTGACGGAGAGGCTCGGGTCAAAGTGACAAGGTCAGTGAGAGGCAGAGTCACAATTTGAAATAGTATCTTTTGATTCCAATGTCTTCACTTCACCAGTATGTTTCTCAGATTAACTGGTAATTTCCATGTGTTATGGTTGGTGGTATGGGAAAGATACAGTGCCATGATACAGACAGGAGAAAGTGACCCAAAGATGGTTCCCAATTCCCTGTTTTTTCAGGTCTATTTTCTCTTTGACCCAGGTAATTAATTTGCTCCTATATTATCCTGAGTTTACTCTGTGAGAATCGATATCAATGATTTTGTGAGATATAAATGCCATTAGTGCAATAGGTGACAAGTTTTCAACTTCTTTGTCTACATGCCAGTGTGCTAAGCCTGTAATCAGAACAATTATGCTCTTTATTTGGAATATAACTTCACCTACATCATACAGAGTCATTGTCTAAAGTTTCATAACTCTAATATGATACCCTCAGCCTTTTATGTCTTCCTGATCTCGAGCCCTTTATTATCGCCTTAACATTTCCACACATGACAACACACTTAGTACCCAGGTACTCTGCAGTTCTTTTGAAATTCCAGCTTCAGTTCTGCTTATGGCCTTTTGAATGAATGTTTCATACATTTTTGCTTTTAGTTTTCTTAATAACATTTTTGGATTGTCTTATATTCTTAATATCTTTTGATGACTCAGTTTATCTAATACGACTTGCCACTAGGTGCCATAAATTGGCACCTTTAATTGACCTTCTTATGACTATCACCAGTGAGGAACACAGATTTTTGATACTGCATATTCACTGGTTTCAAGGAATCCCTGAATAAGACACTTGAGGTCAGCACACAACCTGACAGATTTCTCTTTCCTGAAATACTAACCCACGAGTGCATTTTCTACTTGCCAGTAATTCTTGTCCTTTATCAGTTGTTTATGTTAAGGAAGCTTTGTTGCCTTTCATAATTGTTGATTAGATTATCTGAATAAATATTCTTTCTGGGATATCAGGAAAAAAAGTATCAGTTCAATATCCAGAACATTTTAAAAAAGCACAAAAAACTCCAGGGAGGTGAACTGGTAATTTGGAGTCACTTGTCTCAGGGATGGTTTTCTGACGCAGAGAGTATGAAAAGTGTTTTTGAAACCCTCATAAGAAAACATCTTATGCTATTTTTTTAGACCCCAAGGGTAGCACTATAGAAGGAACAGTAAGCTTGAAAGAAACCAGACTTTTTATAGTCTTTAGCAAGCTTTTAGTAATTCGATGTTGTCCAGAAAAATCTCACATATTAAGTTTTGTTTAAGGAGTTCCTACATTATCAGACCTTCTAGGTATCTGATAGAAGCAAATGATAGCCCTTTATGTACAAGGATCATGTCATCTGTGGTCTAGAATTATTTTTATAAATATATTTTAAAATGTCCAGCATCCATTGGAGATAGCCAGGTACACTTGAAGCAAGAAACGCATATGAGAACCAAGAAACAATAGTCAATAGAAAGAGCCCCATAGGTCTCTGACTATTGGAATTATTGTACATCGGCTAAAATGTGCTTATTATTTTCAAAGAGATAAGTAAGATTGGAAATAGCAGAGAATGATATTTAAGTATAAATATGACCTATTCTATTTGATAAAAATAGTAATAGTTCTTAACCTAAGAAGTAAGTTAATTGACAGTTATTGAGTGGGTTTAACAAAAAATTTGAATCAGGTACAAAGAGAAAACATGTAATTTGGAAAATGGTGATAAGTCTATTTCTAGAATGAAGGAAAAAGATCCAATACAGAGCAAAAAGCAAATAAAATAGACAATACAGAGAGGTAAGAGGTTCATAGGATAAATAGCAAGAAGGTCAATCATATTTCATTCAGATTCCAAATAAAAAGAGAGAAAAATGGAAAGAAGTGATATTTAAGGATAATGTCTCAGAATTTCTAAAAACTCAGGAATTATAATCAGTCAAAAAATTGGAACGCCCAGTTAATTCCAGTGTGAATAAATAGACAAACTCATTGACATGTATGATGATAAATTTGCAGAAAAGACCACATCAAAGCATATAACATAAAATTAAATGATAAAAATGATCTAAATTACAACTAATTCCTCGAGAGAAACAATGGAAGTTAAGGAAGAATAGAGTTATATTTTCTAATTTATTTATTTATTTCATTTATTTTTATTAGTTGGAGGCTAATTACTTCACAACATTTCAGTGGTTTTTGTCATACATTGAAATGAATTAGCCATGGATTTACATGTATTCCCCATCCCGGTCCCCCCTCCCACCTCCCTTGAGTTTTATTTTCAATACGTTGAAAGAAAATAGCTTCCTAGTATTGCAGTGTGTTTCAGGAAGAAAATGAAACTATACAGTTTCAGACAAGCATACACTAAGATAAATTACCATCAAAAGAAGGAAAATTATCCTTTTATGGCTATTCACGAAGGAAGAGCACTGAAAATGGTAAAACATACTTCAGTTTAAATGTATATTGATGGCAAAGAACATTGTCATTGTTTTATAGAATTTGGAATATATGGAGAATTAAAATTTATTACAAAAATAGTGTATTGTTAGGGCTGTTAAATGAAGTTAAAGCATTCTTTGTTCCATAATTATATGTAAGAAAGTTTAAAAGTAATTGTCAACATTTGGTGTTCATAAATCAAGGCTTTCTGTTAAATCTCTAGGTATTTAAAAAGATAAAAAAGTCTATAAGAATACCTGACTTCCATGCTAATGGAGGACAAAGATGGAATAGTTGTGTTTAAGTTTAAAAGAAGGCAAGGAGAGAAAGAATCACATAGCACAGGCAAGTAAATAGAAGTAAATAATCAGAAAATTAAACCGAGCTATACCATTAAATGTAAATATTTCACAGAGGTGGAAGCATAAAGAGTAATGTTCTCTATAGTCAAAGAAATTTTGATCAAAGTTCTTCTCTATAATCAAAGAAATTAAACTATAAATAGATAAGAAAAATATAACTTGAAAATCCATATATTTATAGAACAAACATAGTTTTAGATAACTAATGAGGGAAGAATAAATAATAATGGAAATATAAAATATTTTAATTCGATAGTATTAAAGTTACTACATATTAAAATTTTTTGGAATCTTGACTAGAAGTAAATGTCCAGCTTTTAATACAGGTATTTTAAAAGACTAAAAAATCAATAATCTAAGCATCTATCCAACCTAGACCGTGTGTTAAAAAGCAGAGACAAAAAAAAAAAAAAAAAGCAGAGACATCACTTTGGTGACAAAGGCCTATATAGTCAAAGCTATGGTTTGTCTAGTAGTTGTATATGGATGTGATAGTTGGACCATAAAGAAAGCTGAGTGCCTAAGAATTGATGCTTTCCAACAGTGGTGCTGGAGAAGACTCTTAAAAGTCCTTTGAACAGCAAAGAGATCAGACTAGTGGATCCTAAACGAAATCAATCCTTAATATTAATTGGAAGGACTGATCCTGAAGCTGGAGCTTCAATACTTTGGCCACCTGATGGGAAGAGCTGACTCATTGAAAAAGACCCTGATGCTGAGAAAGATTAAAGGCAAAAGGAGGAGAGGACAACAGAAGATGTTTAGATAGCATCACTGACTCAATGGACATGAATCTGAACAACTCTGGGAGAGAGTGAAGGACAGGGAAGCCTGGCATGCTGCAGTCCATGGGGTTGCAGACTTGGTCATGACTTAAAGACTGAACAGCAACAACAAAAAGCATCTATCTTCATAAATTAAGAATTAATCAAAAAGCACACCTATATATATGGAGAAAGAAACTAATAAAAACTTATAAAAATGGAATAAAAAGTCAGTTAGAAGTGATTTAAAAAGCCAAAAATTTGCACTTTACTTCCAGATTAAGTAGCCCTTGTAGAGAAAAAATAGAAAGGACAAGGAGAGAAAACACAGTATCAATACTAGTAAAGGAAATAGTGTTACAGATACCATAGGTATTAAAATCATCGTAATATAGTGAGCAACATTTACAGATAAATGTGAAAATATATGACCATATGCTGTGATATGTAAAGTAGAAAAATTCTTATGAAAAAGCAAAAGCATTTTCTGACAAACGAAAAGGGAAAATTTGAAGAGTTTTATAATTATTGATGAAATAGACACTGCAATTTAAAGCCTTCCAACTAAATACTCAGGCAAATTTTTGTTCTCTACTAAACAATTAAGTGATAAATAAGACCACTTTTACACACACTTCAGGTAATAAAAAGTAAATAGGAAATGGTTTGTAAACGTTTGAGAAGACCATCACAAACCTAATGTCAAAAGAAAGACATTGCAGAAAAGATAGTTTGCTGGACATTCTCTGTTAAAAACAAAGATGCAAAAATTCTGTATCAAGTATCACACTAGTAAACCAGCAACATATAAAGTTGGTATTGAATCACATCCAATTTGGCTTTTTATTACCAAGCAAATTTAATTTACCATTCAAAAATCAAATTCTTAATTCATTTCATCAAAACAACAAGAGAAAATTCATTTAGTGATCTCATGTAAATGCAGAAAAAACTCTAGGGAGGATTTATGTATGGCAAAAACTGGCAAATTGGAAACAAAAGTAAAAGTCCACAATCTGGTAAAACATACCTATCCAAAAATCAATAGAAAATATCACATTGCTGATGGAATATGGAAGACTTTCTTTTTGAGACTGGGAACTGGACAAGGATACCTATCATTGTCATTCTGCAGCAATTTTAACTGTATGTCTTCAGTGCAGTAAGGGGAGAAATGTATTAAAAAATATAAGAGTATAAAATCATTTTCAGATGATATGCTTGCATAAATAGATAACCCCAAAGAATCTCCAGATGATTAATTAGAATTCACAGGAAAAATTAGCAAGGTTGTTGAATATAAGTTATATATACAAAATTCAATTCTTTCTAGAAACCAGCAATAGGACTTAGCAAATAAAATTCTAGAATTATGCCATTGTAATAAGATACAGCATACCTGGTAATAACTCAATAAAATTGCACAAGCACATTATGCAGAAAACCACTAAACATTGCAGACCAAAATACTGAGCAAAAGAAAGTAAACCACATATACAAACGTGAATATTATATACATGTCAGTTTTTTGCAAGCTAACTTGCAGCCCTAGTGCAATCTTTATTAAAGGCCAATCATTAAAAAAAAAAAACCTCACAAGCTAATTATAGGATTAATGTGGAATGCAAAGGGTCAAGTACCGTTGAAGTATTCTTGAAGAAGAAAAAAGCACAAAGACATGTTCTTCCAGTTATCAAATCTTATGGTAGTAATGAAGACAGTGTCATATTAGTGTAAGGGTAGACAAAAAAGTCAGTGAATAAAATACAGAGTTATGGAACTTATTAGATTTATTATGATTTTGATACTGTTGGACAGTGTGAAAATGATCCTCATTTTTTCTGGGTTTCATTTTTTAAATTGAAGAAGAGTTGATTTACAATATTTCCAGAATGAGCTAATATAAAATATATTGTTTTGGAAGCATCCTTATAAGGTAAAGAATAGAAGTAGGAAAAAGTATGAAAAGAAAACTTTGTTTTTATTTTTATAGAAAAGTAAGGTGCTGGTTATTGGGTTATTTTCTGACATTGGTCTGGTAGCTAAGTGGCTGTTTGCTTTATATTCATTAATTAATCTTTAGTTTTATGTCTTATGTTCTTTTCTGCATGTATGTGTTATATTTTACAATAAAAAAAAATTAAAAAACCATACCTGCTCTCCCCACCCTTCTTGAAACCAAGAGAATGAATGACCCAAGCAGACTCAACTGCCCTGCCCCTTCCATCTGATAAAAGGGAAATGACATGCCTGAATCAAGGGCTACTTGTAAGTTAATAATAAATATCTTTTGCTTCTTCCTGATTCCTGAGCAGTCTTCTTAGTTTTGATTCTACTTCAGATGCAGATTGGAGAAAATGATGGCTCTAAACCTGAAAACCCCCTCGTTTTAGAACTCTTACGATGAGTTCAAATATGAGGAGTTTTTAAAGATCTCTAAAATTGTTGGACTTCATGGGGCTTATATTTCAAAGACTGTTCTTCCTTACTAAAATTCCACAAGCTAAGTGGGTGACAGAATGGAAGGAGGAGTTGGTTAGTTTATCCTCACCACTGTCACAATCAAATCCTACGCGCGCTTCCCTGGATTCCAGGGGATTCTGAAGAAGTCACCTACGTTGCCTTTTGTCTCTCCTTATACCCTGTATGCCCTTCCCTATAATGCTACTGCCCAGCATCCCCAGGCCCTGGTAATGCCTCTCCTGCGGTTATCTTGTTCTGATACAAACTAGAACTAAATCAAGTAGCTGCATCTTGGTCCTTACTGTCAGACCCAAGTATTTATCTTTGCTGTGCTCAATCTATTTGCGATCTCGCTCAAGAATTCATTATGTTGTAGGAAACTTCTTGAAACCCAAGCCAAAGCATTGTTATCTTACTTGGCAGAGAGATCACAGTCTCAAATATTCTGAGCTTGCTACTTTTTTAAAAAAATTCCTATGGCTCCCCTAGGTTACAGATCCCATATTGGTTAATGTACCTAGAAATTGCACCTCCCCTAATGTCCCAAGGCTCTACAGATACAGTTGGCTGGCCATATCCATGAATGTGGAACTTGTGGGCAAGGGGGGATGACTGTGCTGTAATGGACTTGAGCATCCTGAAATTTTCGTGTCTCTGCGGGATAGTGGGAGATGGAGGGGAGTTCCTGGAACCAATACCCCATGGATGCCAATGGATGAGTGTATACAGAAGTTCCTAAATCATAGCTACATGTTTCATGTCACTCTGGCCCAACTTGTTCCAGTTGAAGTAGCATCTTTTGATTTTTCCAGTTAGTGTGTCTAGCATCAAATGCTATGCATTATTATCCAGAATGAGAGTGAATGATCACACCTAAAAAGTCCTAAATGACTTAGCTTCAATCCTCCAGTGCTCTTTCTCACATGTTATACCTGCTAAACTGGATTCTTTAAATAGCCCATATGCACATAGATACCTGCTTGCTTCCGCCTCACTCACATCCTTCACACTTCACATCTTTGTTCACTTCTCACCTCTTCAGTAAGAAATTTCCCAAACTATTTGAAAGTCTAACCTACCACATTCACTGTCCCTTATTCTGCTTAATTTTTCTCTGCAGCACTTATTATTATCTGACATACTGCATTTTTACTTGTTTATGATGTCTCTCTTCCGCTAGGATGTAATTTCCACTACAATGAGAATTTTTTGCTCTATTTTCCTTTTTCAATTGTACTGATATATTCATAGCACAAAGAACTGTTATAGGCCCATAATACACTGATCACATGTAAATGCATTAAATTAATGAAACACAATTTGCGTGAGAAGTTAAATTGAGGAAATAATACCAAAAAAAGTCATCTTTTGAAAAAGAGAATTTTATTTTCAATTCACATTTTGAGTTACTGTCAATGAATTTAGGAAACTTTGTTTTATGTGTGTTGCTGAACTGATTATATATACTTTGTGATTCTTGGGTCTTTTCTTCTCAGGTTTAGGCATTAAACAACCCTTGGGACATATAGATTTTTATCCAAATGGAGGGAAAAAGCAACCTGGCTGTCCTAAATCAATTTTTTCAGGTACACAAAAAATATTTTAGAATAAATTGTGCATTCTTCAAAAGAATGAAAGAAAGACAGTTTTTTTCCTTCTTAATCTGTGGGTAACAGTTTTTTCACCACTGCTCATCATTCAGGAGTTATTGGTGGCAATGGTGTAATTTGATCCTTTTGAGTTCATAAATGTTACCAGTAGACATCTCATTTGATTATGGATGAAACCTATTATCTTATAGTCTCAACATTTTTAGTTTATCAGTTTAAACTAAGTTAGTTTATCAGTTTAAACTAACTGATTAACTTTTATTAGAAGTTATGTCAGTGAAGAAGCATGTGTAGCCAAAGTGTTATATAACACAATGATTTCAGGATTTAATTTTTACCGTTGTTGTTGTTCAGTTGCTAAGTTGTGACTGTTTTGTGACCCCATAGACTATAGCCCACCAGGCTCCTCTGTCCATGGCGCTTCCCAGGCAAGAATACTGGAATGGGTTGCCGTTTTCTTCTCCAACCATTACCATAGTATTATTGTGTGTTACTCACAGATTATCAACTCTTGCACTTCGTCATTCTGTACATAAAGAGCTGAACAACTGCTCTCTGTGTGGAATTTGGCTAACTTTAGAGCCACGGTGAGAAATGTCCTGAGATCTACAGTGGGAACTGTCAAGAACCACATCTTTAAAGGCCACAAAAACTAGAGTAGTTTAATCAAAGGGACAGGAATGTGAGAAGTTAGGAAAGGAAAGGGACGTGATAAATCTTTAATGTCACCTGCTTTCACAGGTATCTTTGACATTCAGTAGGAATGTTAGGGATGAGAGTTTAGAAGGGAGTTAGTTATGTGTACACTAATCATTAAATATAGTAGCACTGTGTTTGTAATTTGTTAAAGTACTGAAATTAAACATTTTTGCTACTTTAATTGTTACTGTAGAAAAAAATTCTTATATACCTCGTGTAAAAGGCATACTATATTTAAGCTTTCAGTGGTACCGTTTATTAAGTTGCCTGAGATAAAACTGCATTGTAGTCAGCACTGTGATATTCATAAAGTGCACATCATTAGCTAGAATTTAATCTTTAAATTTTTTTTTCCAATTTACTTGAACTTGGCTTAATACATCTAACTGCTTGATTTTTAACATTTAAGGACTTGAATTTATTAAATGCGACCACCAGAGAGCAGTTTACTTATTCATGGCAACTTTGGAAACGAGCTGCAATTTTATTTCATTTTCTTGTCGTTCATACAAAGATTATAAGGCTGGTTTATGTGTGGATTGTGCTGACTTTAAGGAAAAATCATGTCCTAAACTAGGTAAGAGAGACTGTTATAATTACTCTAATTCTTTGTGGAAATTGAACAACATAATTGTGTTATTATTTTCTGCTGGCAGCTTTCATGTTTACTTATTAGCATACTAACATTTTTTTGGAAAAGTCTTCTGTGGGACAGAGAAAATAATTCATTTCCTAGTAAATGGTTTTAAGATTCTGAGTGAGAGGAACTTGGTCAACCTCTTTTCTGTGCTGCATGTAGTGTATGCATGTGGTGGCCTCTTGATAATCCTTGTTCTTAATACACAGAAGGATCTATCATCCATCTATATTTCCACTAAAGAGAGAAACTTATTCATTTTTAGTGATACTGAGGGTTTTGTTTGCTGTTAGTTTGTATTTTTAAGGGAAGTCTTAAGAAGTGAAGAGATATGAGCCATGGTTAGCTTTGCATTTGTTATTAATAAGTAGACATGAATTACACATGGTTTATACTTTCTAAATCAATAAACTTGGTAAGAACAGTTAAGTATGGCAACTTTTGATTAACTGGAGTCTAACGGTGGGAAATTAAAGAGAAAAAATAATCCACATAAAAATAGAATTTTAAAGCTGGAAATGATTCTCAGAGGCTGTTTGTTCAGTGTTTGCCAAAGATAACAACAGACCCTAAGTATGTCATGAGCATGTAGACATCTAATTGTATCACAACAGGTCTACCAGAAATGTTTCCAAAGCCAAGTAGCTTCAATTAAATGGGTAGCAATGACAAAGTCTGAATTAAACAGCCTCCTGTGATCTTATTTCATAGGAGGTTTATACTAATATACATAGAGAATCACTAGAAGAGGCAAGCAATCTGCAGGCTTTGCTAGACTTATTTCCTCATAGACCCCTCTGTCTAGAATATATTTTAGTTTATATAATATATCTTAATGGGATTAGTTTTCTTCAGGCCTCATGTTGGGGATTGCTTTTCTGGTTCTATTGTATTTCCAAAGTAAATTGTGACCCAGTCTGAACATGTGGATTGCTTAAGGGCACAAGTGAAAACTAGAGTTAAATCTCTGAATTTTCAATTAAATATTCGGTCTACTGCATTCAGATTTCAAATTTGGAGGTAGCAATGTAGAAATAGACACATACATGAAGTAGAAAGCATCTTAGATATGTGTGTATATATTACATATTCTATATGTACAAATAAGGTTTATACCTGAAATATATATTATACATACAATAATAGTATTGTGTGTATATATATATATATATATATATAGCAGAGATGATATATATATTTCATATATAATAGAGGTGATATCTATACTATATACCTTGTATGTATAATGTGTACATATACATGCTGTATCAGCATGAATATGTATATAAGAGAATTGGAGGCTGTGTTCATGGAGTTAAATTTTATGTTCAGGTTTTATCTAATCAGTTTATTCTGCTGAATTCACTGAAAGGAGTTTCAAGTAAAATTACTAATTTATAAACAAAAACTTTGACAAATGGACTTTAACCATATGGAGTATGCAAAGATCTGATATGATTTCCAGGGAGTAGATTTATTTGTGAATCTTCAATATAAGAGTTGTTATAGTTGAAATAAATAGGATGTGAAATTATTTGAAAAGTGATTTTTAAGTTATAAAAATCCATAAAGTATAATTATTATTATAATACATTGATCCTTTAGTTCTTTTCAGCAATTTGATATTTTTGTATGCTATTTGATGAAAGTTCAATGACTAACATTCTATTTCTCAAATCTCAGGTTATCAGACTGAGCTATGGAAAGATATTTTAAAAGAAAGGATAGAAAACACAACTCTCAGGATGACTGTATTTTTGGATACTGTTGGAACAAATCCATTCTGTAGTAAGTTAATATTTTTTAACAAATAAACTAATTATTAGTTCTATATACTAATTTCAATTTGTATCCAAAATTCAAATTTCATAATGTGCTTTCAAGGAACTTTAAAATTTGCTAGAGAGTCAGTTGTACAAATTCAAATAAAACTTAATTTTTAAATAAAATGAGCATATGCTTTGGGTAATATTCTTCCAAAAAACAATCAATGTCTTTTGTTTTCCCTCTCAATTTCCATGGTTATTCTCCCATGTTCAGTATTATGTCAGCATATAACAACTCACAGAGTTTAAGACATCTATCTACACTATTAGTGACCCCTTGGAAACTGAAACTAAATTATATAAATACAAGATGTTCAAGTAAATAATAATCTTCCCAATTTATTTAGAGTTAAATAAGAAGAGAAAATTTGGAGAACAGGAGAAAATCTCAGAAACTTATTAACTAATTAGATTTATGAGGAGGTATTAAAAAAAGTAAAATTATTCTCTTTAGCGATCGGGAGCTTAAAGTGGTTTAAATAAAGCACATCCTATTATATGAAAATATTGTGAAATACGTTTCCATGAGTTTGCCATTGATTCTGGTTCCTGAGGAATGAATATTTGAAATAGACCAAATAAGATATTTTTGGTCAGTTTATTATAGATATTTTGCAGTCAAAGTTGTTAATCAATTTTTAAGATATTCTTTAAACGTTTGTGATGTGTCCTGTCATTCAGCATTGTTGTTCAGTTGCTAAGTTGTGTCCGACTCTGCAACCCCATGGCAGCATGCCAGGTTCCCTGTCTTTCACTATATCCTGGAGTTTGCTCAAACTCATGTCCATTGAGTCAGTGATGTCTTCCAACCATCTTATCCTTTGTCGCCCCCTTCTCCTCCTACCCTCGATCTTTCCCTGCATCAGGATCTTTTCCAATGAGTTGGCTCTTCCTATCAGGTGGCCAAAGTACTGAAGCTTCATCTTCATCATCAGTCCTTCTATGAGTATTCAGGGTTGCTCTTCGTTAGGATTGACTGGTTTGATATCCTTGCTGTCCAAGGGCCTCTCAAGAGTCTCCTCCAACACTAGAGTTGAAAAGTATCAGCTCTTCAGCAATCAGCCTTTTTTATGGTGCAGATCTCTCATCCAGACATGACTACTGGAAAAACCATAGCTTTGACTATGTGGCGCTTTGTCATCAAAGTGGTCTTTGCTTTTTGATAACATTGTCCAGGTTTGTCATAGCTTTTCTTCCAAAGAGCAAGTGTCCTTTAATTTTGTAGCTGCAGTCACTGTCAACAGTGATTTTGCAGCCCAAGAATATAAAAAATCTGCCACTATTTCCACCTTTCCCCCATTTATATGCCATAAAAGGATGGGACCAAATGCCATGATCTTAGTTTTTTTGAACGTTGAAATTTAAGGCAGCTTTTTCACTTTCCTTTTCTGCCCTCATTAAGAGGCTCTTTCAAAATTCAGAATTGGGCTCATCCATTTTTTTTCATTAAGATTTTTATTGAATTAAATTTAGATTCACATGCAGATGTAAGAACCAATGCAGAGGGATCCAGTGTACACTTTATTCAGTGGTAAAATTTTGTAACACTATAGAATAAATATAATATCACTATCACATGATACTGCTACAATCCATCCATCTTACTTATATTTCCTTACTGGTGTGTGTGTGTGTGTGTGTGTCTAGTTCTCTATAATGTAATCATCATATACAGAGCTCTGTGTCTATCACCTCAGTGAAGATATTTAGCTGTTCCATCACTATCAGACCTCTTGTGTGGCACTTTTATAGCCATATATATTAATACCACTTTCATATCCTGTTGTTTCTAATCCTTGACATCCATTAATATATTCCTAAAAATTTGTCATTTTGAAAAATATTTTATAAAGGGAATTATTCACTATGTTACCTTTTAACTGGACTTTTTAAACTCAGCATCATTTCTGGAGGTTCATTTGTGTTGTGCCATGTATCAATAATTCATTCCTTTTTATTGCTGAATGGTATTCCATGGTATGTTTGCACTAAAGTTTGTTTAATGGTTCATATGTTGTAGAACATTAGGGATGTGTTTATACTGGGCTATTATGATTAAAGCTGCTTTGGATATTTGTATACAAGTTTTCATGTGAATTTATCATTTCTCTGGTATAAAGTCTCAGGAATATAAATACAGCATCAGAAGTTAATTGCACATTTAGCCTTATAAGAAACTGAGAATTTTTTAGTGTGGCTGACCATCTTATATTACCCATAGCAAAGAATGAGTGATCCAATGAATGATTTCTTACTAGCATTTGGTGTTTTCATTATTTTTTAAAAAAATTATCCTTCCTGGTAGTATATAGTGATATCTTGTTAAGGTTTTAATTTTTGTCATCCTAATGGCTGATGAGTTTGCATATCTTCTCTGTATGGTGAAATGTGTGTGTGTGTGTCTTTTGCTCATTTTCCAGTTGGATTTTTTAAACTATTGGCTTTTGAGGGTTCTTCATGTATTTTTATTGCTAGTCCTTCTTTCCTTGTTGAGGATTTGGTCTGCAAATATTTTTTCCTAGTTTAAAACTTGAGTGGCTTTTCTTCCTCCTTACAAGGGCTTTCACAAGGGCACAGGTTTTACTTTTGATGAAGTCTAATTTATCACTTTTTCTTTTCAAGGAACATTCTTTTGATATCTAAGAACTCTTTGATGAGCCCTCCGTCCTGAAGATTTTCACTCAAATTTTTTTCTAACAGTTTTATAATTATATGTGTTCCTTTAAACATAGACAGTCTTGTTTTAAATTTATTTTATTATTATATTATTTTATTTATTTATTTATTATTGTATTATTTTATTATTGCAAAGCACATATCTTAGAATATCTAAAATAATTATTACAAAGAAGAATAAAGAAGAAACAATCACTTTGACCTTCCTTCTGCATTGCAACTTTTTCTGATTCTCTTCTTTTGTCCTCCTCTTCCACCTTTAAGGCTTTGTGATTACATTCTTTGGAACTGTATGGTGCCCACTTGGGTAATTCAAGATACCTTCTGTCTTCTAAGGGCAGCTTATTAGCAACTTTAATTCTATTTGAATTCTTAATTATTCCTTGCCATTTCAGGTAACATATTCACAGGTTCCAGGGATTAGGACATGGACATATTTGGGGAGGTCTACTACAGTTAAATATTCATATGTGAGTTTTCACAGTCTACTGGTATCAATATTTACCACTTCAAGTGAAATGTGAGAACTTCACTTCCATTTAGGTTATTTTACCTTCTCCACTTTTTAATATTATTGTCTCGAGTATCAGATCATGTGATAATTTTTATTTCAAATATCAAATATGATTTATAAATTCACAAGGGTAAGGATAATTTATTGTGAAAGCATTAGTCACTCAGTCCTCTGCGATCCCGTGGTCTATAGCCCGCCAGGCACCTCTGTCCATGGAATTCTCCAGGCAAGAATGGTGAAGTGGGCTGCCATTCCCTTCTCCAGGGGATCTTCCCAACCCAGGGATCGAACCCAGGCCTCACTCGTTGCACGCGGATTCTTTACGGTCTGAGCCACCAGAGAAGTCACTTTATTGTGTGTACCCATATTTTTCCTTTTCCCATTTTTCCCTTTTTGTTTCTGATACTCCAGAATTATTTACTTCATCAATTCCTTTGTGTTCCTTCTTACAATATGTAAGAATGGGTCTGCTAAAGAGAAATTCTTTGTTTTCTTTGAAAATGTCTCTATTCGTCCTTTATTCTCAAAGTATAGTTTTTCTGTGTGTAAGAATTAGAGTTAAGTTCCTTCTTTTAGCACTTGATAAGTGTTATTATCACTTCCTTTTGGCCTCTCTGGTTTCAGATTCATTGTAACTCAATTGGTTGTTCTCCTGTAGATAACACATCATTTCTCTTTGGCCGCTTTCAGGATATTTTTCTTTTTTCTTTTAGTGTTCTGAAGCTTGATTATAATTTTCTTTGCTATAGTCTGACAGGTCCCTGGGGCTCTGTCCTTTTTTTTCTCAGTCTGTTTTTTCTCTGTTTTCAGATTGAGTGGCAGATTGATCTGTCATCCAGTTAACTGATTTCCGTCCTCTTATTATTTGCACTCTACTATTGAGACTATCCCATAAGTTCTCTGTCCATTATGGTAGTTGTCATTTATGTAATGTCTACTTTATTTTCTTTTATAGTGTTTATTTCTTGGCTGAGATTTTTCTATTCCTTCATCTTTTTTCAACAGCCTCTGACTCTGAAGCATTTTTATGATGGTTCCTTTAAAATCCTTGTCAGATTTTCCCAGCATCTAATTCATCTCAATGCTGGCATTAGTTGATTGTCTTTTCTTACCAGAGTTGTAATTTTCTTTGTTCTTGGTATAACAGATAATTTTCAGTCACATCTTGGACATTTTCTCTATGTGACAATTCAGATGCTGTTTAAATCTTTTATTTTAGCAGGAGTTACATTGTTTAGGTTTTAGCTTTATGTATTCTGAAGCTGTGAGTTTTAGCTGTATAGTTTCAGGATTTTCATATTTTCCCGCTGACTTGCTTTTTTTTGCTTCATAATTAGGAATGCATCATTTTTTGCCTCACAGACATTTATCAGATTCTGACATAACAACAATTTGTTTCATAGAGCCTTTAAATCTTGTGCCTTTTTTTCTATCTTCAATATTATATTCTGTAGTATTTTATTTATTTAACAATGAATAATTATTATGAATATTATCATTAATCAAATGCTCACTTATATTTACCAGTTTATTTTCTACATTTTAACTTGTCCTTTTTTCCCTCCTCATCATCTTCCTTTTGGACTTAATCTTTATCTTGCTAAAATAGATCCTTAATAACTTTTTACTAAGTAATGTCTCTCAGTTTGTTTTCCTGAAAATGTCCTTATCGTTTTCTTACTCTGGAGTGTAATTTTAGTCTAGAATAGAATTCTACATTGAGAATTATTTTCATTGAGTACTTTAAAGATATTAATTCTCTTATTTTAATATAAATTTATATTTTCATTTATTAGTAATCTAATTCAGGTTTTCTTCTTGTTAAATTTATATAGGTATATAAGCATTTATTTATTAGTCTGTAAATTTAAATAATCTATTGTTTTCTTCTGGTTAAACTTATGTATGTGTATATATATTGATTCATCTAATAATTTAGTCATGATTTCTTGTAATTTTCTAGTCTCAATGGTCAATCCAAGTCTCTATTAAAATCAAATGAAAAATGTTTGTGTTATTTCAAAATAAATATTCATGCCACATTTTATCATAGAAAACTCTCATCACTCTGCTCTTCAAAATTCTCCCTTCAGAACAAGGTGGATTTTGTTTTTTCCAGAATTTATGTACCATGACCCTGGAGGATTTTTCATGTAAATTTATGGAGGTCATTAACCAATAGGGACTTATAAATTTAAATTCTGTGTTACCTGGAGTTTATTTTAGTCTCAGGGAATTTTTTTTTTCCACTTAATACTAATACACAACTGGTAGGAAGAATTTTCCAAGTTTCTCTTTCAATGACAAAGCAGAAAGTTCAGGTCCCTGACTCTACAGTGTTTTTCATTTCAGCTTCATCATTTCGTGTTGCATGGAGGTTGACACTTCAGTCTCTGTCTCTGTGCTACAACCAGTTATCAAGTCCTTTAGAGACCTAGGGCTTCAATTCTTAAGACTTGCCTTTTATTTCTCTTCATTGCTTCCTCCTAGTATTTTGTCTTTCTTCATTTGTGCTTGGTTATATATCTAAGTTATGAATTTTAACCAAGAGTTTCTATGTAATTATACCAGGAGCTGGGGTGATTATGTAACATCTCAATATATCATACTTCCAGGAATCATCTGAGCAATATGAGCACCCACTTTTTTGGGTGAGGGACCAAGATATTTTATCTAATGCTGGGCAGTCACTACAAAGTAAGAAGTGTTCCTTTATGTCTTTTGTGCTATCAATTGATAAGGGCCAATTACTTTGAGGTGTACTAAGAATCTAAGTACTCTTAGCTGTTTAATAGAAACATTTAACAGCTAACATGCACAATTTTTGTACATGTGTGTCTCAGAAGAAAGGTTCATCTGTTCCACATTCTGTTTATATACATTGTCTTCTAAGAGTTTTGCACAACACTTGGGAACATTCACAGAGAGTAGGAAATTTCTGTGTAGCCCAGACAATAATGGGTAAAGGGATGAGTTCAGCATCTTTTCCTGTGAAAGATATATCAATTTTTGTGATGACATTTTGAGAAAGAGACACTATGACCTCACTCTGTGTAGGATTGTCTAACTTTATTGGCTGGCTTCCCTGGTGGCTCAGTGGTAAAGAACCCACCTGTCAGTGCAGGAGATGAGGGTTCCATCCCTGGCTTGGGAAGATCCCCTGGAGAATGAAATGGCAACCCACTCCAGTCTTCTTGCTTGGAAAATCCCATGGACAGAGGAGCCTGGCAGGCCATGGTCCGTGGAGTCGCAAAAGAATTGGACATGATTTAGTAACTAAATAACAATTTTACTGTCATTCCTAAACAGCCAGTGAAATTGGGAATTATATTTGTCAGGCAAATTTAGGTAGGACTATTAATCATACAATTAAGGAACCTTATAATGTTTACCTTAGATGTACTGATAGAGAAAGATTAATTGACTTAAATTCTGATATTTTTTTGTTTTGAGACCAGTTAGTATTTACTAATTATTTGACCAACTTTTCACCATACTTATGACTGACTGGCAAGCTTTCATTCCTCATTTTTTCAAGACTAGTTAAAATTTAACAAGAGGGAAAATATATTACCTGTGTACCAAATGAATGCCTTTCAATGTTATTGGCGGATATAATATGTGCCAAGATTACATAAATATATATTTACATGCATATCTGAACCAAAATAAAGTTTAAAAATAACATGAATTGCATTCCGTATTTTTGTTTTGTAGCCTATTATTTTGTTCTCAGTATAATTGTTCTGGATGAAACTATGAAGGATGGCTATGTTACATTTAAATTATTAAACCAACTTGGAATCGTTGAAGAGCCAAGGCTCTATGAGTAAGTATGGTGTCTCTTTCTTTGGTAAAATATATTTTCTCAAGCATCCACTGTGCAAGGTAATCCAAACAGTATAAATTTTCTATGCAGTGAGTTGTAAATTAACTATTAAATGGATCTCTGGCTGTCGTATTCTAATTCACTCATTCTATGAATTGAGATGCAAAATATGGAAGAAACTAAATAATTTGCTCATGTTATACATCTAGCTACTGCAAGAGTTAAAAGAAAAAAAAACTTTCCACCTAATTTTGAGCACTGCTAGGATGTGTTATAATAACTATTGAGGTTGCTCCATAATATTGGGTTGGCCAAAAAAGTTCTTCCACATTTTTCTGTAACATCTTGTGGAAAAACCCAAATGAACTTTTTTGACCAACCCAATAGTTTATTACTTTAAATTGCTTAAAATTGTGTATAAACGTATATACTCATGCACACATATATGTGTGATTCATTACTTATTCTTATCAGACACATGCTTTGTTAACTTTTAAATTTACTTATTCAACAAGTGTTATTTAGCACCAACCAAACATATTCAGGTGCTTCACTAAATAATGGGGATCCAAACTGAAATAGCAATGTTACCATTCTCGAGGAGGTCACAGAATACTGGAGGAGACTAATGCATAATTACAGCTTTGAGTAATAAGTCTTGGAGTAACAGAACATTCATGAGCTATGGGAGTCCAGAGAGAGAAGCAAGGAAATGTTCAAAAGGATGGTATTACTGTCAGGGAATGGATGAGGGTGCTTTCAAAGGCATGGAGATAGAAAGTGGCTGAGTTCAGTAATAGCACACAGACTGCAGTCCTAGAGCTATTGTTTCAAACTTGTTCAGAAGGCAAACAAATTATGATTCTTGATTTCAAAGAATCATGTTCTGTGAAGAACACTATTTTAAATACTGATGGATTTCATTCAAATATTTGATGAGTACATTTTTCATGGAAAATGTAAAAATATGAAACCCATACACAAGGTAAATCTGTCCATCTAAGCCTGGCCAATGGCCTTCATGTTTTTCTATCAATAATTGTTTGCTAATGAAGTTAGTCATGCTTTGGGATATTAACTGTTGTAGATGCCATTAGAGTGAGATACTTTTAAATGATCTTTTATTTCCCTTTTCAAAATTAAAATAGGAGTATTTTTTTGCTGGAGAAAATGTGTTATACAGTAGAAAGTGAGAATAATCTATAATAACATCATGCAGGGATATTCCCATTTACCAGTTAGTTTATAACCATTCCTTTTTCTCCTCCTTCTCCTCCTATTTCTCCTTCCCTTCCACCCCCACCTCTTCCTTTTCCTCCTCTTTTTCCCTCTTATATATGCCCCTGTGCATGCATACATTATTATTTTTACATTATTTTTCACTTAGCAAAATTAGGATATTTTTGCAAATGTGTTCTGCTTTCTGATTTTTACACTGGATGCTATAGTGTTTTTTTTTTTTTTTTACTATGTCACTAAAAATCACTTACACATTGTAATATGATGCCAAATATATTGATATGCCAATATAGGATTTTAAACCAACTGTTGATGTGTGTATTCAGGTTAGAATGACTCCTCACATGATGAGTCATGGGGAGATTAGTGTGAAACAGGTGCAGAGTGGTGGCTATCATAATAATTTATATGAAAGATAATGGGGGCTTGGATCAAGTCAGTGGAAGTGGGATTTTAAGATTTAGAATAGATTTTGTTTTGTGTTTAATTAAATGTGAAAGTGAAGGGAAAAGTGATTAGGAGTGGCGTTGAGTTTTAAAGTTGGTGCCTATTTGAATTATGGTGTCATTCATTGAGATAGCAGATACAAGGAGAAGACCCAATTTAACCATTCAATACATTTCTTGAACTGTACTAGAAATTAAGGACAAATTTAGGGAAAATTAGATTTCTATTCCTTCATACTTTCAGTCTAGTGAGAAGATAGTGTTTATAAACACAGTAAGTTCCCTGCGTATGGATGAGTTCCATTCCGAGAGTGTGTTCATGAAGCCAATTTGTTCAGAAGTCCAACTAAGTTAGCCTAGGTACCCAACTAACACCATCCGCTACCTAGTACTGTACCGTAAAGTTTATAATACTTTTCAAACAAATAATACATGAAACACAAACAGACACAAAAATAAAGAAGAGGTTTTTAATCTTGCAGTACAGCACTTTGAAAAGTACAGTAGTACCAGCTACATCACTGCTGCTTTTACACTTGCTTTCAGACTTCCTGCCTGAAGTGACGATGCAGGACTACTGTACTCCATACACTGCTTTTGTGTACTTTTATTGTGCACAGCTACTTGTAGCAGATTAATGCATGTGACAGTCTACACCAGACACATGAACTGACTTGTGATTGGACGTGAGAACACATGTCCGCATCTTTGAAACGTTACAACTTGAAGATTCGTATGTGGGGAACTTCCTGTACATAATACAAATAAAATAATGATATTCACTATTTCCATTTCCAAAAAGCTTTTAATATCTATCTTGAGCTCTGGAGAAGGAAATGGCAACCCACACCAGTATTCTTCCATGGAGAATCCCATGGATGGAGGAGCCTGGTGGCTACAATCATGGGGTCACAAGAATTCGACATGACTCGTGTTCATTGGAAGAACTGATGCTGAAGCTGAAACTCCAATACTTTGGCCACCTGATGCGAAGAGTTGACTCGTTGGAAAAGACCCTGATGCTGGGAGGGATTGGGGTCAGGAGGAGAAGGGGACGACAGAGGATGAGATGGCTGGATGGCATCACCGACTCCATGGGCGTGAGTTTGAGTAAACTCCGTGAGTTGGTGATGGACAGGGAGGCCTGGCATGCTGTGATTCATGGGGTCGCCAAGAGTCGGATACGACTGAGTGACTGAACTGAACTGAACTGAACTGAACTAGCGGCTAAACCACCATCACCATATTGAGCTAGGCACTGTACTAGGAGCTGAATATACTGCTGCTGCTGCGGCTGCTAAGTCGCGTCAGTGGTGTCCGACTCTGTGCGATCCCATAGACCAGGCTTTGCTGGCCCTGGGATTCTCCAGGCAAGAACACTGGAGTGGGTTGCCATTTCCTTCTCCAATGCATGAAAGTGAAAAGTGAAAGTGAAGTCGCTTAGTCGTGTCCGACTTTTTGCGACCGCATGGACTGCAGCCCACCAGGCTCCTCCATCCATGGGATTTTCCAGGCAAGAGTACTGGAGTGGGGTGCCTTTGCCTTCCCCAGCTGAATATACTAGGATGAGAAAAACATGATACTACCCTCATTAAGTTTATTACAAAAATAAAGGCATAGAACAATGGTGCCCTGAGCTAAAGTGTTCTCATTGGAAATGGAAAAATGAGGATGAGGATGGATGCAAAGAAGATTCAAGATATTCCATAGAGTGTAGGCACATAGGATAGATTAGATGTAGGAGTTGAAAGAGAGGATGATCTGCAGCATGAAGTCTAGTTGTCTTGTATGAACAGTGCATTGTGGTGCCATGTAAAATTATAAGGAAATTTCTAAGTTTTAGGGTTTTTGGTGAGAGGTGAGTGTTGGGGAAGATGTCGTTAAATTTGAACTTACTGAGCTTTAGGCATTCTTGAGATATCCAAGAGGACATGGTGAATAACAGTTGTCTGGGTCTCGTTAGACAGGGCTTAGCTGGAGGCAGAGACATGGTGATCAGGAGCAGACAGTTGGTATTTGGAATGAATGAGGTACATATGAGTTTTGTGGGGAAGACAACACGTTTCCATCTGGATACGCTGACTTTGAAGCATCTCTGAGAAATCTAGATAAGTTCTTGGACAGAAGTTAGAGATGTGCCCAATGGCATTATGTTCTGTGAGAGAGGAGGTAGTCACTCTGACAGGGATGGGTTTTGAGGGGAGTGATAAGAACCTTTTCGGGGTCTAGATGCTTTGGAGAATCCAAAGGAGAAGAGAACAGGCCAAATATAAGATGGCACAAGTGCTGGGTGTGCTGCCGGTTGCTTTTCAGCCATTCTGCGTTTGATAGTTGCCTCAAACAAAGAAATCCTTTAACAGATTTTTTAAAAATTTCCTGTCCTCTACTCTTCCTTTTCCTCCCCTCCCCCACCTTTCCCCTCTCTTCTCTCCTTCCTTCATTCCTTCATGTCTCCCACCCATCCTCTCTCCTGTCCTCCTTCCCTTTCTTTCCTCCTCCTCTTTCTTCTTTTTCCTCGTGCTCCTTTGTTCTTTCCTTTAGAGGCTGGCAGACCCATGATATGATAAAGTGGCACAGAACAGGAAAGGATTATTATTTGTGGGTCCAGTCTATTCAGAGAATGGTGATAGCTATTCAGTGGCTTATAAAAAGTAGCAAAATATGGATTCTCTAATCTTGGACAAGTGTAGAATCTAAACATCGCAGCAGAAAGACAAGATCTCCTAATTTTCTCCAAAATATATTCCCAAAATATTTGCGTGTGGGAGTTACATATCTTTTTATTTTATCTTGCTTTTAATTAGTTTAGATTATTTTAATAAATGCCACATATTTTATTGTTTGGCCTTTTCCCTGTAAGATTGGTATTTCTAACTAACGTTGATAAGGTTATATTGATTTTAAAGTTGTCTTACATTTCAAATTACTAATATGATGAGATATCAAATTTTATGTTTAGGAGGCACAAAATATTTTACAAACTTCAAGAATTCAAGATTCTTGGTCAATTTTTAAATGATGTTGCAAATATTTCAAGCATTGGTTTGGCATATTTTCAAAGTTCAAATCAGCAATGTTCCACATGCAAGTACACTATTCGACTTCTCAAGCTAAAATCACTTACATATCCAGAAAGGTAAGAAAATTAAATTCTGATTACAATGTTATCCTTTAAACTTGAAAATATTCCTTTGCTAAGGAGTAGTTTAAAAATTCATGTTCTCGAATGTTTATTGTATATTTTAGATTATATTTATAAAAACAGTAGACAATCTAAAAGGTATATAAAATTGTTTGGCTTAAATGAGATTTATTTTGGAATCACATTACCCAATCAGAGAAAAGGATATATAATTACTTCACGAGATACAGTAAACATGAAAAAAAGTTAGACAAAAGTCTGCCTTCAAATTTTAACAGTTATTTCAATAGGGTTCTGGATTGCTAAAAAATGTCTGCCTTTGTTGACTGCAACACTTTCTCTTTATCTTCCTATATTTATATACTTGATTTCCCAATTACCTTTTTGTGAATGTTGAACATAGTAAATAAGAATTTTTGGAGACTAAAAATGATAAAAATGGTAAGTGGTAAGAATATTCATTTAGATGAGGTCTAAATTCACAGGGGGGGGGGCTGGAAAATTCTTTGAAATAATTTATAAATTATTTTGTAAGCTTTTGGCATGAGAATATTTAGTCATTCAAAAGTTAATGAGTGAAAAGTTATTGTAATGGAAAAAAAATCAAAGGGTAATTTTACTTTTGCCATTGACTGAAATACTTACAAAAATATCAAGTTATGTGGGCATCTTCAGTTAGGAATATTAGCAACACCATTCCCTGACAAGTATGTCAGAGACAGAAAGAAACTTTGGTGGTGGGGAAGGCAGTCGTATATAAAGGAGTAGAGTTGCAAGATTTTTAATCTTCAACTGGTCTCTATATCTATTATTTTAACTATGTAAAGTTTATACTAAATATAGAGTAGAAACTATATTTGTAGTGCTCAAAAAATAGATCTTAGAGAGGTCAAGTTTATTGTACCACCATATTCCCCTGGTCTCCTCCATTAATACCTCTCTGAGCCTCAGGATGGTAAATATAAATAAAGAAGTGTAGTTGTTGTAGTTCTAAATGCTCTGTTTTGGGCACTTAAATGGTATCAATACACCCCCACTGTACAGATTTCACCAGATGACTTGCTCATTAAAAAACTTCTCCCAAGCTTCAAAGGTAAAGCAAGAGGCCAGCTCCCTCCTTCTGCCCGCTTTGCCTAACTAACTTATTCATTGTTGTCATCGTGGTAAGAAAACTTAAAGTGAGATCTACTTTCTTGGCAAAGTTTTAAGTGCACAATACAGTATTTATAATAGGCACACGGTTTACAGCAAGCAAAAACAAGCAAACAAGAACCTCTTACAGGGTTTTCCTGGTAGCTCAGTAGTAAAGAATTTGCTTACCAATGCAGGAGACGAGGGTTCAATCCCTGATCCCATGGGATTCCGCATGCCCGGAGCAACTAAGTCTGTACTACTGAGCCTGTGCCCTAGAGCATAGGAGCCACAACTACTGAGCCCATGCAACTCCTGAAGCCTGAAGCCTGAAGCCCTAGAATCCATGCTCTGCAACGAGAGAAGCCACTGCAATGAAAAGCCTGCACAGGGCAACTAGAGAGTAGCTCTCATTCGCCGCAGCTAGAGAAAAGCATGTGCAGCAACAAAGACCCAGCACAGACATTAGTAAATACGATTTTTTAAAAAAAATGCTGCACTTCCACTGAAGGGGGTGAGGGTTCAAAAACAACAACAACAGCAACTTACTAAAGATGGAAAATTCAACCACAAATTCCTAAAGATAAAGGGGATAATGTGCATGCTAAGTTGCTTCAGTCATGTCTGACTCTGTGACCCAATGGACTGTAGCCTGCCAGGCTCCTCTGTTCATGGGATTCTCTAGGCAAGAACACTGGAGTGGGTTGCTGTTTTCTTCTCCAGGGGATCTTCCTGACCCACGGATGAAATCTGCATCTCTTTTGTCTCCTGCATTGGCAGGTGAGTTCTTTATCACTAGGGCCACCTGAGAAGCCCAAGGGGCTTTGTAGCCAGTTGTAATTGAAAACCCCATGGAAGATGTGGCTTCTGGCTTGGCCACATTCCGAGGATGAAGGATTGTTTGCTTGGCATCTCTTGGCTCAGGCATTAACATTGTTTCATTCTCAGTCTTCATGGTATCAAATCAGATGCCCATACCTACTTGATTCCAAGTTCAAATCCCACAGGAAGAGAAATAAAGTTTTAAGATCCCACTGCATCTTACTGATTTTCATTAGGCAAATTCATATCTCTGAACCTCACAGTGTGTTCAGGGAATTAGATTCTTCTGATTGTCCAGGGAAGTAAGTTCCTTCATTGGTTTATGCTTAACTTTGAGATAAGATGGGATCAAATTTGTCCAAAGTTTATAGACTGAGGATAGAGTAAAGAAGATGAGGGTATTATTACATGAAAGGGATAGATGGTTGGTGACAAAAATTACAGGCCACTACAGAGAGACTGAAAATATTTTGATATCAGGCAAAACATTAATTAAACATAGATTGTCCTCCTTGAAATATAGCCTGTGTGTGTGTTAGTCACTTAGCCGTGTCTGACTCTTTGCAACCTCATGGACTACAGCCCACCGGGCTCCTCTGTCCATGGGATTTTCCAGGTAAGAACACTGTAGTGGGTTGCCATTCCCTTCTCCAGAGGATCTTCCCAACCCAGGGATCAAACTGAGGTGTTCTGTATCACAGGCAGATTCTTTATCATCTGAGCCACCAGGGAACCCCAATATGTCCTACTAAAGTTAAATATTGATTTTACTAAAAACCATAATTTTGACTGGCTGACACAGTTAACTTGTGAATGAGAGCAATAAATGAATAGTTATGCTAGAGAATGCAAATTAAGATCATTTAAGATCTGGGTACTTCAAGAAGTTGGGGGTTAGGTTTCTTAAATAGATATGTTTATGTTTCTGCAAGGCTATAATTTAATATTTTGACTTGATAAGACAGGTGAGAATAAGCATTGAAGTAACTCCTCAAATAATTTAATCCAGTGTCACAGAGGGTGTCTGTACAAATTTAGACATTTTTCTTTTTTCAAATTAATTAAACATTTAAATCTCTAATTTTGTAGCTTTGGCCTCTATGTTTTACTTACTTTAGGATACCTTCTCTTGTTAATTCAGTATTGGTTTCATTAAATATTTTCAAGGTTCTTTTGAAAAATATAAAAATATTGAATTTTATATTGAAAACATTATAAATGAAGCTTAGATTTAATGAGGTTAAGTATTTGGCTAAGAAAAGCCAAAAACTATCTTTAGAGAGTAACCTCAGAAAACCAGTTCAGTTATGCTATTTGTGCTGAAGTCATTCGCACTTCATTTTGTCTTTTAAACTTCCCAATTAAAAGTCCAAGGTACCTTGGGAGAATGTGGGAATTGAAACTCTAGAATTCTGAAGGGTGTTTAAAGGAAGCAATTTTGGCAAAACTATTTTACATTTTTAACAAAGTTTGTTCATTTATCCTGAGACTTGTCCACCATCTTCACTATCCACACTCCATTTTCTTCTGGATCCTCAACTGATGTTCTAGGTCAGTGTAATGTTGAGAGGTGATACAGATTAAGAACTCTAAACGATGTCAACAGTGTGAACAGCCATTGTGTGTTTCTATTGACATATGCAATGTAAACTATGCCTCATATATGAAGAATTATGTGGTTTTTAGGATGACTGGATATGAGCTTTTTTACATACCATTAGAGTATTGAACATGAAGGTTATTATACCTAAATGTTTTTAGAAATCCAGTATTTTAATTGCCATATTAAGGGACAAGATATTATTTTCTACTTCTAAAATTGTTTTAAAGTTTTGTTGAAGTTGTATACGATTTTTGAAAATGTTTGATAATTAGGATAAGTGATTATCTTTTTAAGTTGTCTAAAATTATGACATAATTTTACCTGATAATTATATAATTGGACAATGTAAGCAGGAAGTTTCAGGTTAAAATCCTAAAAACTACAGCACATGTATTTTCAATAACTGTGCTTACCCAGTGGCTCAGTAGGTAAAGAATCCACTTGCAATATAGGAAACCTGGGTGACACAGGTTCAGTCCCTGGGTCAGGAAGATCCCCTGGAGGAGGAAATGGCAACCCACTGCAGTATTCTTGTCTGAAAAATCCCATGGACAGAGGAGCCTAGTGGGCTATAATCCAAAATGTAGCAAGGAGTCAGACACAACTGAGCAATTAAGCATGCAATGCTGTAAGATGCAATTATACTTATGTAAATACCAAGTAATCAATACACATCTTAACACAATTTGATTAAAAGTACATTATATAAATAAATATATAAATAAAATAGTAACTAAATATAAATGTATTTTACAATCCTTATTCATAAAATAGTTGCTGTTCTTTATGTTTTTGCCTTGTAATATGTTCCATAGGTTTTCAGTGTCATTTATAAAATATATATTTGTCTCCTAGCAGATGCTCGACTAGGGGCTTCCCAGGTGGTGCTAGTGGTAAAGAACCCAGCTGACAATGCAGGAGAGATGCAGGTTCAGTCCCTGGGTTGGGAAGATCCCCTGGAGGAGGGCATGGCAACCCACTCCAGTATTCTTGCCTGGAGAATCCCATGGACAGAGGGGCCTGGTGGGCTACATCCACAGGGTCGCAAAGAGTTGGACACAACTGAGGTGACTTATCACTCATGCACAGATGCTCAATTTATAGCAGTCCTTTCTTTTCATTTTCATTCCCTTCTCTTGTTGGTCCCCAATTTAACTTTTCTTATATTCATTTTGTCTATACACATATTTTTCAAGCAACAGACTGGACAAGTCAATAAAAAAAAAATGAAAGATATTGGTCTGTTTTGCTGAAATAATTCATCAATAAAATGCTTTGTTCCCAAAATTCTATGAGCTATGTCTCATTCTGCAACCTCATAAACACCTCTACCTTTTTGTAAAAGTTTCATTCATTGCTAATTTGTAAACTTCTTATCCAAACACTATATTCACTTCTACCACACTTCTCACTCTTATAATTTAGTGATCAGAATAAT